TTTGTTTTCTTCTAATCACCCGATCAGACTATTTTCCCTGGTCTAAATGTATTCGCTACAATTTCCCGCTTGACTTCGAGTGGGTGACCTGTTATGAACCAAGATGTTCTTGGTTGTAGTTTCTCTAAGCCATTTTAACCGCACAATCCCTCGCTAAAGTTGATTATGCACGTTGAGAGAAGAAAACCAACTGCCCTCGGCCCGTGTGAATCGTATATTGTTAGCCTGATTGTTCAGCACTTCAAAACACGTGTCCATTCCCCTGAGTTTGGCAGGCGACAAAGTACTCGTCTACGTAACTGCAGAGCACAGGCGAGCGCAGCAATACTCCAAGCACATCATGTATGGTCCCCGTACAAGCGTTGAGTTTCAACAGTCTTCATGGCCTTCAGAAGCCATCTGTAACACGCATTTTTCGCACCAGATACATCTCTGAGTCACCCAGCCTCATCATATCCCCTAGACCTCATCACTTGAATATAGAGCAGTTAAAGAATTTCTCGTCCACAGACATCACTCGAGAAACTGAAAGACCATACCTATCAATTGATCCCGCTGTTCATACAAAAGTTCGTGGGTGGCCTGCATGGTATCTCCGTTTTACGCATTTATGTAGAGAGAATTTTTGTAAAATAATTCTGTGGTGTGGTTCCTTCATAGTCGGGTCCTCTGCGTGCTTAAGAACAAGCCTAAGAGTCCTTGTCTATGTGAAGATTTTCTGTACCTGAGTGCGAAGCAAATGCAGGAGGCAGATACTTCGCTGTATATGAAGAGGCTGGGTGGCTCAGAGATGTTTCTGATGTGAAAAATGCGTGATACGGATGGCTTCTGGAGTCCATGAATACTGTTGAAACTCAACTCTTGTACGGGGTCCTTAATACGGGTGGCGGAATTGAAACCGAAAGTCATGCGCACGCGTCTGAGAACCTTTGAATGTGGTCTACAAATGGCAATTACTGTAGTACGTATATCTAATTGGGATAAAGCCTCAACTGTCCAAACATGATATTCACGTGACGTGCTCCAATCATCAGACCAATTTCTGCGAAGCGCGAAGGGTTGCAGTACCTCTCGTGCACAAAATCCCCAATCCCATGATCCGAATATAACTTTATTCCCTTAGACAACCGATTAGCGAGTGAAAATTTCGAGTCACTATTCGCTGCAACGCAATGCTTACTCGTTTTCATGTCTGACTCCTTGCTGATCCATCGCATTGAGTGACAGAATGCTGAGTTTGTGGTGTTCAGGGGCCTCAGTAACAGTTTGCAGACATTCGTTTTTGAGTATTTCTGTTCTCGAATATTCGAGCAACTGACGGAATTCCACAGTTTTACTGAAATTGCAAATACAGGGCTGCTATACTCTTGAAGATAGGAACTGCAGTTTTCCTTTTTTGTTTTGAAGTGATACTGGACATTGATATCAAGCTCTATACTTTCAACAAAATGTCTAGATAATGAGAACAGAATGGCTCTAGAGGCGCTACCACCTTTCCTCGAATGATTATCGAAAAGTTTGCTCATTTATACGANAGTTTTACTGAAATTGCAAATACGGGGCTGCTATACTTTTGAAGATAGGAACTGCAGTTTTCCTTTTTTGATTTGAAGTGATACTGGACATTGATATCAAGCTCTATACTTTCGACAAAATGTCTAGATAATGAGAACAGAATAGCTCTAGAGGCGCTACCACCTTTCCTCGAATGATTATCGAAAAGTTTGCTCATTTATACGAAGAAGTATCCGATATCATATCACCATTTCCACCAATTTACGATGGTATTTCTTATAAATGGTAATGTACTGACTTCATATTATTTATATCAAATTATTTCATTAAAGTAATTTCGTCGTTCTCTCTTTTTTGTGCCGCCCGTATCTTCTCCAAATTTTGACTGGACTCAAACAGGAGTTATGGCTCTCTAGTCAAACACACACACTCCGTGCGTGGTCCACCTGCCACATCACATTACACTAAACACATTGGTTATGTAATGATCCATTTGATTATTGAGCACACCTTCATCCCTGCTGCAACTCGGCAAAGATAGTATGCTTGCCATCTAGATGTTGGGTAGGAGCAAGAGTAATAAAGAACTGCGACCCGTTCGGCTGCTTTCATAGTCCGCCCGGCGCGCCGGCCGGCTGACTATGAAAGCAGCCTTCGCGTTTGGGCCTGAAGCAAAATCATAATCGAGCAGTAGGAAACGCGAAATAGTAGAATACCTGTGTTAGCCGTCGATAGAACACCAGCACCCTTATGCTTGAGCTTGACTGAGATTTCGTCCGCAAAACGGCCACCATATATCGAGGCTCCACCCCTTCCTAGGCGTAAAACTTTTAAGACCAACGTCTCTTTCAGAAAAACGAGGTAACAGAATAACGGTTTCCTGTTCCCGTCGGGTCACCTCCCTGTATCATGAAATCAGCGATTATTCCATGGAATATTGTCTCATTATAGTATCCTCGTCGAACTGATTCGCTGAAGTTTCGACAGGCTTTTGGTGCGTGAACCCAGTACAATTCCACACAAATCTTCCCCATACTGCAACTAGCCAGTTTATTAAGTGTCGCATCCAACAAAACAAATAAAAAATCCCTTCAAACCTCGTTTCCATCACTACAAACGGGGCTTTGTCAGTGAGCGACATAATTTCAAATTAGCAGCGATGAATTCCAGGGATACAAAAAAATGGAGCGATCTCGGCAAGGCCAAACCTCAGAAATTAAAAGCATTTCTTTAAATTCAAAATATGCGGTATGACGACAGTTTGCTGTTGTATTCGCGAAAAATAATTTTCATCACTTCAACATGATTTGGGGATAGCAGATTCCAGATTTCATTTCATCCACTGAAGTGACTTACTGGTTGATTTTGGCTGCCACTTTTTCGATGGATCTTGACCTCTACCACAAGATCTCATCTTTATGAAAGCAATCACACTTTTCCACGTGCTTATGGATACACAAAATCTTCTGAACAACTTCAAAAGCAGCGCTCCAGCGTGGACGATATGCTCACTCCTGTTTCGAAAGAGAGCAAATTTTGAGAATCAGGAGTGTTGACTTCTGATTACTTTGTCTTCGCTGGAGAAGACCTTGTTCATCATTGTATTACATGGAAACGGTGAAAGGCTGCGGACCCGAGCAAAAGTGGTTCTTCACGATTTTATTTGTTACTCCACTCTTATTTATAAGTATTTATCTAATCTTTTTTGATATTTCCGTTTCTTTACATCCAACATCATGCTGGCTCTTCTTCTCATTAACACTTGTATTAAGCTAATGGCGTAACGTCAAGCTTAGTTTCTCGGTGGGTAAATGCATCATAAGACTATATGGCTTCGCTTAACAGGACAATATGAATACGTGATAGTCACCTGCCTTGATAGAATGTTCGAGGGTGAGCTTTTCCTTCCAGGGAATCATAGGAACGTGTATTATTATCCTTCAGTTTGCATCGTGCTCCAAATCCAAGTCGGTGCTAGTGCTGCTTTTTGTTACTCAGCCCGCAGTATTACACTATGACTCGTATTCTCATCAATCATTTCATTTGAGTGGTTCTAAACGATGAAGTATGACGGTAAGCTGTCTTACAAGTCGTCCTACCCTCCCCGCGCGAAAGAACACGTGCACTAAATCGCGCGGGAAACCATGCTATATAAGACGAGGGCAGGAATAAGACATTCTATTGCATAATCGATCGTCCTCTCCGCTGCCTTCACATATCCTCTGTTACTCGAAGAGTATGTAACTACTTTGCTAACTTTAGATAAAGTTTCTTATCTAATTGATTGTGATTGAGGGAATATCGAGTATACTGGTCGCGTAACATAGTTATCCGCGTGGCAGGCTCAAAACACTCGCGTACAAAGGAAAGAGACCCCCTCAAAGTGGTTAGTTACCCAGAACATCTTCAGAAGTTGTGATAGTCAGCAATACATTGCACGAGTGCAAGATGATGAAGTTTAACTTCAAAATAAGAGCAGAAAAGTAGAGGAGGGACTTTTTTCGATCCTGCTGTTTTTCCTATTTTCGCTATAGTCATTTTTCTCACTGATAGATTTCATTAATTGCTTCTGTATTAGTCCCGATAGCTTGCACGAAGCGCTCTTGACGCAGTGATCTGCGCTTTTTTTCGCGCAAATAATCAGTAATTATGGGAAAAATTCTTTCGTTGTCATCCTTTGATGGAAGATATCGCTCACTGCTTCCATAGGGCGGGAGAAACAATGCCAATAGGTAGTAGGAGCTGTTTCATGCCATGGATAGTCTTCAATTCTTCGTGCCTTTGAAAACATTTTACTTTCTGCTCATACTCTGTTTTTAGAAGCTCTCTAGAGTACTTGCTTCAAGGCTTTTTACGTTTGTAAGCTTCCATTGACGTTGAAACCTGAGATAATTTTCTTAAGTAGATGCAGTAACTAGCTGCCAATCTAATACACCGAGTAATCCGGGAAATGGTTTCGTGTTTATAAACATACTGAGACTAACGCAATATTTGGGTATTGTCAGTCTGAATGATTCTCTGCTTTTGTACTCGATAGTTTTCCTGCCAGTCAAGGCTTATTAGTAACTTAATAATGACTCTGTGGTTTGGTAATTGTATACTGAAAGTATCACAAGATTGGCGATTTGTGGGCAAAACTCCAGTCTCGGACGGGACTCAAACCCCCGTACTTGTCCTTTCTGGGGACCGTGCTCTTATCCCTTACACTACCGAGACCCGCTTGCCCTCGCCTTCTTAACCCTTTGACGACAGCGCGGCTCAACGGTGAGCCACGGTTTTCTGGTCGCGTGGGACAGCGCGGCTCAACGGTGGACCGCACCCTCCTTATCGGTTGTTTTTCTCGATTTTTAGTTTTATTTGGAGTTTTTTGTATTTAATAGGTTTGCAATCACTGAATACCACTATACACGAAGTGGGCTAGGAAAAACATTGCTAATTGTTGAAAACTACTAATGAATTCAATTCTCTCTCTGGAAATCT